AGCCAAGAGCTGCCATTTTGTCTCTTTTAAGAGGGTTGCCTTTCCCCTCTCCTGCAGCGCTGTGCGCGGGGGTGGCAGCATCGTCTCCTCTTGCCCTGCCCCTCCTCGGCCGTCCTCCAGGGAGGCAGCTCAGGGCTGCAGGAGAGGTCCCCTCGGGAAAGCGCCAACCAGCCCCAGCCTTCCCAGCCCTGGCGCTCTCCCTGCCACCTCCGCCCTAGGTGCTCGGGGTTTGCAGGCTGTTCAGCTGATTTGTTGCTAATAGCAACCACACGACAGCGATTTGCAGCCTTTGCTGCTGCCAGCGCCTCTCGTTACACCTTCTTCTGCAAACTGGGATATCGTCGTCTGGCTGCTGCCTGTCCCCACCCCTCTAACCGCAGCAGCCAGGGACAATGATGGTGCAGGAGGACGGGACGGCCGCGGGGCGAGCTGCGGGCTTCGCTGGGCACCGCGCAGGTTTGGTCCTTCCAGATCAAGAACTAAATACTGGCCAGCGTTCAGCCGCAGCCGCGCAGGCTCCGCGCATTTCGCATTGTGTGGCAGCATTGTTGAAAGCTGCCAGCGCCCGCAATCCGACCGGCGCGGGGGGGTGTGTGGAGAAGCGCTGCTGGGTTTACATATGTAGATGCGGGCAGCGTTCAGCGCCAAGCCGACACACACCCTCCCCCGGAGCATCAGACCTCGGAAGACAAAGGAAGACCTCGCTCCTTTCAAGTTCCAAGAATAAATTAAGCTTCGGCTTTCAGTTTTGGAACGTCCCAAAAATATTTGTCTTTTTTTTTTTTTTTTTTTTTTTTATAATGGCACTGCACAAGCGCTGACGGTTCCGCAGGAAACCAGAGGTGTAACCATATGCACGTGGTAAAAAGGACTCAGTCCTACCAGCTAATATTTCCTGGTCCCATCCTGCAAGTCAGCCTCACATGTTTTGCCCTTTTCCGGTTTATTTATCCCTTAAAATTTTTATTCAGTCTTTGCCTAGTGTAATGGCGACGCACCAATCTCCACTAGCCAAATCTGTACCGTTTACATGTTTACAGTTAAAAATATCTGTTCAAATGCCAGCGTCGTCCTCTTAGGTGAAAAAAAAAAAGGAGAAGTCCTCTTTCTAGAGCGTTTGAAGTGCCTCGACGTTTCTGTCTTCGCCTCGCAGAACTAATTTACTCTATAGGAAGGTCTCATAAACTAAACTCACCACTGAAAATCCGGAGAGGGGACCCCAGAATGGCGTGACTCGCTGAAGCCCCGAACCAAAGCTCAGGGGGGGAAAAAAAAGAGAGAACTCTCCACCACTATGGTCTCTCTGAAAGAGTCTTTGCTAAAATCAGGTAATGGCAAAGCCCAAATTAAATTTGAAAATTAAATTATTCAAGGATTCAAATTTATTTTAGTACAGGTTTTATGTGGAGTTGAAGACTCTTCACTCAGTGTACTCTCTTCGAGAGAGCACTTCAGTTTTCTACATCCCATTCACTCCCACTAACCTTTCCACGTGCAACCTCCTGGCTTTCAAAAACCCAGCGTTTCCAACTCGGATCCGCGGGAGCAAGCGGAAGAGTTTGCGCGTTGCTCTTCCCACTAGACGCGCTCAGTCGTGCAAACACAGGATTAAACCCCCTAATTTCTGTAACCCTGTAAATATCTCCTCAACGCCTTGAACAATTTACCAGGCGTGTGGCAAGCAGAAGAGACCCTCCAGAGGCAGATCGGGCGACCCAGCGCCCTGCCGACGGGTGCGGGAGACGGCCGGGGGCAGCTCTGGCTCCGGCTCCAGCTGACCCGCAGCTCCGGCGGGCTCTCCCGGGGGGGTCCGAAGCCGGGAAGCCGCCGCATTGAGGCGCGGGAAGACCTCACCTTTTAATGGGCGTCGTGCGGTTTTAAGCCGTAGTGGAACATCCACGGCTTGACCAGCCGAGGCACCGCAGGGCATGAGCCGCCGAGGGGCAGTGAGCCCGACCCTGGACCTGCCACCCAGGGCCCTTCCAGCCGGGGGGTCCTGCGGAGCACTCAGCTCCTCCCGTGCGGAGGCTGAGTCACCTGTTGCCTCGTACCCGCGGGGACGAGACCAAGCCGGGAAACCCCATCCCCCCGGCACGCCTCACTCCCAAAAAACTCCAGGAGCAACTTCGCCCTTCCCCATCTTGGGGAAAACGATGCTTATCCTCCCCACTTTGGGCGTATTTCCGAGTGAATCAAAGACTGAGATTAAAGAACACCCACCAGAAAGCGAAGGCACATTATTAATTTGGATAACTGTTGCCTATTACCCTGGTCTCCGATTTATTTTTTAAGCTGACGTGTGCGGTAACACAGTCATTACTAATACCACCCGCTTAAGGATACAGGTTTCCTACTAATGAGCACCCCAGCAGTAGGCAATGAAGTCTCACAACTACGTCATTTCCATAAATGATTTTCCGTCTTCAGTACTTTTGCGAGAACTGGTGACATTTCCGTAGACCGCATTTGCATGGTGTTTATTCCTCATTATTATTATTAACTATGTGAATAGACTCTCAGTAGCAAGCAACGAAGTGTAACAGCAAGTCTTGGTGGTACTCAGGGTGCGTTTTGTTGTTCCTTATCCAAACATTAGACTTTAATTATACAGATAAATCAATTTATCTGTAATCGACACATCTCTTTTTTTTTTTTTTTTAAACCTCTGGAAGTAATTCATCACCATTTGTTTATTTTTTATTTAACTTAAGAACAGAAATAAGTATAAAGAAATGTGTTTAACAGCTGTTCCCTTCTCAAGTACACATGGTGATAATTTCCCAAAATATTTTCCGTGGCAAACAACCTTCTCACCAATCTGATTTTATTTGTCTCCTTTATTTGTAAAGAATAGCACATCCTCTGTTTAATTTGTTTGTTTAAAGAGACTTTTTTTCGCACTAAATACTCCTAGAAACGCAGAGTTCATTTTAGACCATGATATTGTGTTAGCCCCTCTCTTTTCAGCTGAGTAAACACATAGATGATTAAAAAAAAGAAAAATTAGTGTCTTTCTTACACTTTTCCAAACTTTAAAATGAGGCTGAATTAACCTCAGCGTTCCAACTTTAAGGTATGAGACAAAACTTTATACTGCCTATCAAATAACATGTTTGTATAGTGTCAGCCGTCTGATTTTGTACATTTTGAATTTTGCAGGACAAATTACTAGCCTATGAAATCTTGAAGCCACTGTGCGACCTAGAGTGGCTACAGAAAGGGACATTTTTTTATTGAATATTAACTCTGATTTTCTGTTGTGGATTACAATTTCACTTGGAGCTGCCTGATCGATAGCAGAGGTAACTATTACCTTCGTTCACAAGTATCCCGCGTCTTGGGAATCGCTCTCAAAAGATACTGGACGTGATGTAGAGTCTATTTCTATTCAAACCCTGATAACACTGATTTCATTTTCCTGTCCCACCGTTTGCATTAGTTGCTATACAGACCTCCAAGGTTGTGTTTACTGAGAGATACAACCATGTCTTTGCCGACTGGTTCTGAAGAGGATTATTCCTAATTAGTCCTTATGGCCGGACACCAAGATGGGAAAAGTGGAAGGCAGTGCCCAATTTATCTACCAGAATCATATACTGTTGGAAAAAAATATTTAAAAAATACTGTTATGGTGCAGTACTGTGCTTGGCAGAGTCAGAGGGCTGCTGCCGGACCATCCCTCATCGCTGTGCCCCTTCCCCCCCCGCTCTCTCTGCACGGAGAGAGCGGATGCTGCCCCCGGCCACCCGGGGCTGAGCGTGGCGGGGAGCTGGCGCCGCGCGGATCTTCTGCGCGGGTGGGTGCGCTCGGGCTGATCATTAACCGCGCCGGGTATGGACTGAGAGAAGCCTTCCCTTCCAGCGAGGGACGGCTCTTCTTCCGCCGTACTTCCCCCGCGGCTCCCGGCGGAGGCGGTGGCCGCAGCCCACGGGCTCGCCCTTAGGCGTCCGCGCTGTCCGCACCGCCCCGGCCGCCGATGGACGGGGGCTCCGCGGCCTCCCGTGGGGCAAGTTCATTCCCCGTGCGGCACGAAAACCCCCTGCGTAGGCCAGCGCGGCGGCGTCGGGCAAGAGCGGAGATCCCCGAGGAGCAATCGCATCGGTGGTGAGAAAGGAAAGGAAAAACTAAAATCAAAGTACCCGCCTCCCCGAAGAATAAAGGCGTGGCGGGGTCGAGCAGCTCCGGACTGCTCTCGTTTTTCTTAATTTTCCTTTTATTTCTCCCCCACCCAGGGAGCGGAGTGGAGCGGGAGCCCGACAGTCGGACCCCAGAGGAGCTGCCGGGCGATGCGCTGGACTCCGCTGGAGCGGCGGGGCTCTCCCTGCCTGCCCGCCGGGTCCTTGCCAGGTTGCGCAGCAGCGGAGCGGGACAAGGGACTCGCTCCCGGCGGAGCAGCGCGTCCCACCGGTGCGCACCGGCGGGGCGGCCGTGCCGCCCCTCCCCAGTGTCGGCGGGGGCGGGCAGGCCCCGGCCCGGCCGTCCGACACCCCCCTAAGCCTCCGCCGGGCGGGAACCGGGGCCGCGCCTCGGCTGCGCCCGGACACGTCCAGCGGGCGCTGCGCCTTCCCTGCCCGTGCCCGTCCTTTCCCGGCGCTCCTGGGGCAGCAGCTCCCGGTGAGAGGTGAGCGCACACAGCTCCCGCACACGTTTTTATGTCACGTCGTGTTCGCGCCCCCCACGGGAGCTGTGTGTGTGTGGCACAGCGGCGGTCCTCTCTCCGCGGGGCCGTCGGTCCGCACGGCCCGGGCACCTCCGTAGGTGCCGATACCCGCACCTGTACCGGCACTAGAGCGTGTGACGCGCGTGTGCGATCCGCCACCAGCCGGGCACAGCCCGGGGCCCCGCAGCCCATCCCCTCTCCTCCCGTCACCCCCGGGCTCGGGCCCGGCCGGCGGCACCGCGCGGAGCCCGCGGGGCGGAGCGGGAGCGGGAGCGGCAGCGGGAGCGGCGGGAGGGCGCGGTTGCGTCACGGGCGAGGCCCCGCCCCCCGCGGCTCCGCTTCCGCCCGGTTGCCGGGGAGACGCGTCTACAGCGCGGAAATCCCCGCGGGCGCGGAGCCCGCCCGGCGCCGCCATGAGCCAGCGCCAGGTCCTGCAAGGTAGGCCGGGGCCGGGGCTGGGATCGGGGCCGCGGGGCCGGGGGCCGGCGTGGCCCCCGCCCGGCGGCTGACCCGGCGCCCTGGCGCTGCCGCCCGCAGTGTTCGAGCAGTACCAGCGCGCCCGGACGCAGTTCGTGCAGGGGGTGGCCGACCTCGCCGCCCGCCCGCAGAGCATCGAGACCCTGCGGAGCGCAGGTACGCGGGGGCCAGCGGGGCCGGGCGGGGCGTGGCCGCGGGGGTTTGCGGGGTCCCGCGGGGCCGCCGGGGCCTTTCCTTGGTCTTCTTTTCTTTCTTCCCCTCCTCCTCCGCTGGCCACTCGGTTACCGAGGATTTATTTTCCAGATTTTTTTTTGCCGAGTCTCCCGCGGCGCGAGGGAAGTTGATTGTTCTGGTCAGCGGCGGGCGGGTGCCCCGCAGGTCTGTGCGGAGTGGGGTGTCTCTGGCTGTTATCTCGTGTTTACTTCAAGGAAAATTTCTCAGTATAACCCATTTCTTCATTTACTTCCTCTAGCTTCCAATGTAGCTTTATGTAAAGTACAGAACTTGGATTTCCCGATGAAACCAGCACTGAGTTGCCAAGGAAGTCCTACTTTAGATTAAACTATTTTGATACCGGCTTTAAAAGTTGTTCCTTAATTCTTCGATGCTTTCTGTCAGCAGATTTGTTCAGTTTGGGAGGGATTCGCTTTTGTTATATTGTTGTCGTGGGATGTCGTGAACCAAATTGAACATTTTTAGAAAGACGAGCTGCAGGAGCACTTCTACCAGCTGTTGTGCTGCTGGCATCTGGCAGACCCACTCTGCTCGGCCAAAGTTCCTGAGCTTAAAAGAGGAAAAAGAGGTGCTTGGTAATCGATTATCTGAATGACAGTTTGAAAATGTGGTATAGATCAATTGTTGGTTTGCCATGTGGTTTTCATGAATTGATTATTGTCTAGATTTTGGTTTTAATACTTGTTTCCCAGATCTAGTAAAACTGTCAGTCTTTTCTCAAATACAATGGTATCAAAAAAGCAAACAAAAAATGAAAGCCACTGGTGTAAATATTTACAACTTTCTGTTTTTGTATTTACAACTTTATTAAAATTGTTTTATTGAATATCTGTCACTTTAATTCTTGCTAAAGAAACATTTGTTTTGATTATGGGAGTGGCATGTCGACACCAAGCCTTTTGTATTACCTTGCTGTGGCTCTTGATTTTTTTTGGTTTTGTTTTGTTTGTAATCTCCCAGTGAGTTAATGCCACTGCTATAGTTTACACAAGTGATGCATGTTTACCAAAGGGACATATTGGCTATAGGAATAATTTATGTCTTATTTGTACGAAGAGGTCCCTCTCTGTCCCTTACAGTTCTGGTTTTACCAGCTCACAGAGAGAGATCCCATTTAGGCAGGCTTCTTGCAGCTCAGCATATTTAAAAATGCAGGAAGTTTCTATTTAAAGAAAGCAATCAAAGTGCCAAGCTAACTTCCATTGCATTGCATTTCTTCTTAAAATAATTATTTGATGTAATCTGGTTGGTAACTACTTCAGAACTGATGTCTTACTTGTGCAGAACAATTAATCAGTTCAGAGGCCCAAAACTTCCTTCTGCACATAGCTGGTGTTGGTCTGAAGGTTAATTTTACAGGGATCAGGCTCTGTGGAAATGTGCATTTGTGTAGATTATCCTTCTTGGCTCTTTCTGGTTCTGAGCTGCTTTTCCACAAGCTTTAGTTTTTCAGATGCTAGAAAAGAGGGGAGTGTCTGCAAATATGATGTTTCCTATTACAATTTGTTTGAATGGACCATAAATATTTTACCATCTTTCGCACCTGTGCCTTTAAAAATACTGTGTCGTTATATAGCTGTTAGTTTTCACCTTTTCTGGATGTGCTAGATACAGGTTTTAAAACCTCCTCCTAAATCAAATGTCATTAAGTGTTTTTTTTTTTTTAAACCTCCCACTAAATAAAAGTGATTTGGTCCTTTTATTAAAACCCTTGTACAAATATTTTGAGACATAGCTGTCTAGCACATCACTGATGTACCTTTTATGGTCTTGAGCACTGGAGCAATGATTTAAGAAAGATGTCTGTCTATACGTATATCTCTGTATAAATCCATACATAAAGTGATTGAGGGGCTTGTTTTTTATTCTGGTGAATAGGAATTCTAGCCATTCCTTATGGAGATCACTCTTTTAAGAAGATGAGGAAAGTCTTTGCTGTCATTTTATATTAGCTATAGGAGTTAGGGGCACCTTGCAGGGTTCTTTTGTTGGATCTCAAAAGTTGTCAGTGCTTAGTATTTTGCTGGCTGTCGCAGAGGGCAAGATTACAGTGACTTTTGAATTGGAACAAAATTGAGCCCTTAAGAATTCAGACTGGCAGCAGTGAAAGATCAGTGCTCAAGGAATAAAGCATCTGATCCCATTTTAGAAGTCCTCCTTATAAATACTTAATGTCTTGTAAGAAAAATAAATACTCGTTTGAGACCTTATTCTTTGTGGAGGTGTTCTGGACACCACGTTAACATCAGGAAAGATGGAAGTGTATTGAAAAAGTAATTCTCTACTACGCTATAAGCCCTGCTTCTGTGGTATTAGACCAGGTACAAGCAGTGGTATTGTTGCAAATTTGGAGACTGCAGCCTGGAGGGGAGCAAGTAGCCAGGATCAGAGGCAGGAGTTCCTTACACTGGCTTGGCTGTTGAGAAACCTTAAGGTACTGTTATTGTATGACCTGTAAAGAAAACGGCTGGGAGGCTGGAAAGAAGGTCGGAGAGGGCCGACAGGAAACCCACCTTTTTTCAGGGCATCTCTCTTGTCTCATCAAGTTCTGGAGCTGCTTTTCCCACTGAGCAGAAATCCTCAAAGTTGTTGTAAAGAGGGAACTGGAATCTGTCCCTGGACTTTGACACATTTACATGGCACTGGCTCTGTCCTGGTCAGGAATGTCCTGGGGGTTTAGTGCCTGGGAGCTTAACAGCTTTCTGGTGGCAGGGGTGTTCAAGGAATGATCAGAGAAATTCCTTTGTCTTGGAATTCATTCCAGTATGTTTTCCAACTCTCTGGCTGGCTTTGATAAAGTTGTTTCTTCTTATTAAATCCTACTATGAATAGTAATTACAGGGTTTGTCATTTGAACATTTAATTAGTGGATACTTTGAAAAAAAATCTCCTCCAAAACTTCTAAAACTTTTCCATTTACTAAATATACATGTGAAACAATGACAATCTTGTTTCTGGAGGCCTGTTGACTAATGGGAGAAGCTACTTTGATAGTAGCAGTTTTAAACATACACTTTAAAAATAAATCTATTCATTTGGCAGCTACTGCTCATGAAGTTTGGTACTGGAATGCATTATTCAGCTCCACGCCCCCTCATCCTTCCAAAATTTAAAATCCTAGAAACAGACTATTTTCAATTATAGTGGCAGAACTTGGGAAAATTTGAGTTCTCTTTCTTGCACTGAGATTTAGGCAGCTGTCTGTCTTTTAAAAGATGTAAGAGAAAACCTGAGCTGGTTCTAATATGTTTCTAAGAGTGGTAGTCACCGAGGGTCTAATTCTTCTTTGCCTTTTGAAATGCAGTGAAATCCATTGAAATAGCATTTTGTTTTGATTTTTTTTAGAGGCATTTACAATTAATGTTTAATACTTAGAGTAAGACTTGAATTACATCTGGGTATTCATTTTTGAATTATCTGACAGTACTGTTTTTTATTTATTTATTTTGCATTAGAATATATGGTGATGAGAATGTTGCTTTTAATATGTAAGTTATTTAAGGCCATCATTGTGATTAAGAAACAGTTTAGTCTTGCAATTTAGCCTTTGACTTTAAAGATATTACAAGATCAGCTCTTTAACCCCTTTCTTGGGGCTAATTACATTCTTAAGCATAATGGCTGTGGAAATCATAGGGAAAGCTGAGTATGGAATGTGGAAAAAGAACTCTGAAGCTGTGTGGTACAGCAGCCTGTGTGCTGGGGCCCCACACGCCTGGGTTCCCTTCTCTTTGCTGCTGCGGTGGTTTTATCATCTAGGGCAGATAACTTCAAATGTGGTTCCTCTGCCTTACCTACGTGCTGAGCAGTCTGCAGGGTTCCAAGACAGTTCCAAAATGTCAGTGTAAAGGAAGTTCCTTTCCCAGTGAGTCTCTTCCAGCAGTCCTTCCACTCCATCAGCCCACGACCCTGAGCCGAGGTCTCCTCTTCCTTACGCTTGGTATCAAGCTGCTTCTGAGGCCTTATACTCCAGGACTGAACCCTCTCCTCTCCTTACCTTTGAGCATTTTCTCTTGTATCTGTTCCTCACCATGTTGGCAAGAGGCTATAGCTTGGGGGCAGGGCTCATCTGAGTCAGACTGGGGCTCCACCACAAACCCTTGTGGCATGGCAGATTGTCCCCTACTTTGTGGTCTGTTTTTATGTAAGTAAAGCGTGATTGGCATCGGTGTTAGGTCTCTCACGCCTTCAGAGCTAACTGGTAACAGGTTTTAAGAGCTATATTTCCACGTCTTTGGAGTCATTTTAGGAGCCTTTATTATTGAGGACGGCTGTTCAAATCTATTTCCCCTCCTCCAACTGAGTCTTTCTGCCCATCAACTTTTCTTTCTAGTGTTCGTATCTTAAATGTACCATTTTTGAATGTGATAATTGGACACTTGGCCCTGTATAATTAGGATCAGACTCTGGGAAGCAATTTTAGGATATAGTTCCACATTTTGCATAATGTTAGAGAATGTGCTTTGATAGCACAGTACTTTATAGAAAGCTTACTGGGAACATTTGGACCTTGAAAGTGGATATGCATAACAGACTCCAGTGCCCCCATGTAGCCAGTTTCAACACTGGGGTTTGTGTCCTCTCTTGTGAAGGATGCATACAGGGTTTTTTGTTTGGGTTTTTTTTTGTTTTGTTTGTTTGTTTTGTTTTGGGGGGTTGTTTGTTTGGGTTTTTAAAATTATTTTTATTTGGAGTTAAAAGTTTTGCTGAGCATTGGTGACAGGAGAAGTGGGAGAGGACTATGCAATGTGGCAAGAAAGGCAAAAGGTTGTCTTGGGAGTTGTAGCATATCAGGTGTGGAGAGTGGCTTTCCCCAAGGCTTGATGACATGGTGGTACCTGATGAAAAGAAAAAGGAGGCTGTGTATTAAGGAAAGTACGAGAGAGATGGAAGGAGAAAGTAAATGCAACTGAAGCTGGAGG